AACAGACTACTACAAATAAACATCTGTGATATAGGCTACGTCATAGACAAGACTTAATTGTCCGTCTGGGAGTTGAAGTCAGTTGATGAACAATCATGTCACATATGGGCTATTACTATTTACCTGTCAATGATGAAATCATCACAAACAGATCTGTGATAAAACCTCATCACAGACAAGTCTAGACACCATACATGATACATGTATCATAGACAGATCCTTAACTATCTTCACGGACTATGGTTATCACAGACGGATTATAACACTGTCTGTGACTGAGTTCGTCACAGAAGGGTAAATACCCATCCATGATGTAGTCACATGACTACTACACAAATGATTTGTAGCAATGGGAGGCATAGAGGATCCGGTACAGGAAGGGAGGATGATTGGTTGAATTTTTGTTTGGACTCTAACTACAAGAAATCTAGATAAAAAACAGGCGTAATGAAAAGGATAGTTTCTTGCTATAATGTCCTAGACTCTAGAAACTTGCGATAGGAATCATTGCTGATGGTCCCAAGGCACATATAAGACACCGGTGGTCATGAGGAACATGGCTTTGCACATTTGGCCTGATTGGAGACTACTATAGTTTCTTCAAATAAAGGAGAGAAAGACTGACATCTAAAGTATACAAATGGTGTAGTTTTCATGTCACTACCACGATAGACACTAAGATTTTTTAAGACGGTTGGTTGGCTTGTCGCCACCATGGCTAAGCAATCACCTCAGGGAAAACTGATGATTTCGGGTAGAGTACACTGAAAAAAGTGCAATTAACTTGAGGACACTTTCCATCATGGTTAAATTTCTTATGGACACAATCATGATTAATCTTGAGATTTGCCGGTCCAACTCGGTCCTTCGGAAGTGCTCATAGGGGTAGGGTGTGGTGCATGTGTTCACAAAAGGATGAGTGTATGTACGCTCATGTATATGAGTGTATGTGCGGATATCAGAGGTGCTCATAGGAGTAGGTTATAGATATTGTCATGATCAGTTTACCTATTGGTTTCCTCGTTGATTACATTAGCGGAGTTGGTTTCTATGTATAACATGCATATACCCCGTCTGGTTGGGCCTCATGAGTAGTCTTTTTCGGACCCCATTTGCTATTTCAAAAATAGGCATCATAAATATAGGCAGGTTACCAAGAACTGAACTTAACAAATAACTAGTATTCCACTATAAGATAGATGTTTGTGGCTTCCAGAGTTACTTTGTTTACACTTGAATCTTTCCTTAGTTATACACCAATCAACGTTACACAGTTTATGGTAGTGCATTGGTATGCTTGAATACCTGAAAGGGTATGATCCCACTTCACAGCCATACAATTCAATATGCCCACCCTCATAATTTTTTATTTCAACAAACAAAAAATCATTTTTATCATAATTAATCTATAGACATGATAATTGTTCAAAAACATGGAGCAACAATTTCATATTTTTAGCTTGCTCCATATCATGGTCCATGAATATGATTATGTCATTTCAATGCCCACACTTCCTCTTGTTACAAAATCTTCAACCCACCTACAACATTGTTCATAGAACCCTTTCATTCGCACAGTTGATGGAGAAAACTCCATTTCACTGTATCATAGGCTTTTTCAAAATCTATTTTAAGGATCACCCCATTGATCATTTTTGTATGCATTTCATGAATTGCTTCATGTAATATCACTAAAAACCTTACATGATATTCTGCCATGGCACAAAAATAGTGTTTCAAATGGATCATAATAAATCCCCTGTCCCCAATAGTTTTCTAGAATAATTCTAAGTGTTCTTGGATATCATAAAACTAGATCTCTTCGCACTCTTTGTAGATTTTGTGAGGAGCACCATCCTCTATATAGCCCTAATTTTGGGGTGATTACACTTCTCCCATAAATAAAAGAGGCATAAAATACAACAATACATACCCATCAATTTGCTCAATGTTGGTTTCGAAATTTTCACTAAAGTCGCTACAAATACACTCATGGGAGTAGCTAGCAAAGTGATATGACTTCCCAACCAGCCTCACCTACTCCTATTAACAAACTAATGGACATCATCATCATCTGATGAGGACAGTTAATTGACATGATCAAGTTGTGTAAGTGGGCAGACAAATGGCAGTTAATTATAAGTTTTGGTGATTGGAATGTTCGATACCTATTCCAAGCATATTTACAAGTAGGTGAATTTTGATTGTGGCACAAGTTTTTTGGCTCCAAACTCCATTATTTGTAAATTAAGTTATGAACGCATGTCACATCTGAATGCAAGTCAAGCCTTCCGCAACAAAACCTACTCCATTATCATCTATTCAAGAATTGAATGCCATGTCATCATTTCTACCTATGTGACAGACCATTTAATCAGATTGAGACCTCAATGAAACTTTAATTTCACCCGGAATGGCCTTATTTATGTATCTTGTAATCTAGCATCTTTTTAACAAAGCCAACTACTACTAAAGGACACACAAATGCCACAACCAACCTCATAACCCACTCCTAATATGAGAATCTCAATAGACATCTTTGCCATCTGATTAAGATTAACAACCCAGATGAAGTTGTGTAAGTGGGAAGACAGATGGCAATTAATCATAATCTTTGGTGTTTTTGGCATATTGGATAGCATTGTCTTATTCCAAGCACAAGTTGGTCAATTTCGATTGTGCAAGTTTTGGGCCCCATATATCTCCACTATGTGCTAATAAATTATGAATGACTATTGAGACGTCTATGAAACTTCTAGTGGGGATGGCCTCATTTAACAATCTTATTGTCTAGCTTCTTTGGACAATGCCAATTAATAAAGGTCCCCAAAGGCCATAACCAGCCTCATAGTCACCTACTCCTAATTTAACAATCTCACCAGACATCACATACCTTTTAAAAAAAGCAGACATCATCACCATACGATTAAGACATTTAACAACCTCAATCAAGTTGTGCAAGTAGATAGGAAAATAGCAATTAACTATAAGTTTTGGTGATTGGCATATTCGATACCACCTTGTTCTTGTGCAGTTAGCCCTCATCGAATTGTAATGTTTGTCCTGGCCTTACTCCAAGCACAAGTGGATCAACTTTTTATTTTACACAAGTTTTGAGCGCCAATCTAGATTATTTGTAAATTAAATTATGTATGGTTGGCACATCTCGATGCAAGTCAAGTTTTTCTCTTTCATTTCTTGAAGGAGGACACCGCTAGAGGTTGCTACGCGTTCCCCCATCCTTATTCTCCTCACTTTTTCAAGATTTGGGTGCTCAAGGTATATATCTGGATCTAGTTTTTCATGGAGGAGAGAGAAAACAGATCTAGGTCTTGATTTGCTGCAATTTATTTTGTAATACTGCTATACTTATGTGTTATTCGCTTCGTGTGCAAGGTTTGCTGCGGCATGGATAGGTTAGAATGGATGTACCGGACATCGAGGCTAACACCGGCTGATATAGGTCAGGTGAAAAAGTTTATTGCCGCTACTCGAAAACATAGCCTGAGTGTGAAGAAGCGACAAGGATGCATCGTATGTCCATGTTCTCACTGCAAGAACAAGTTTGCACATGAGGACAGCGTGATGCAATCTCACTTCATCAGGTTTGGTTTCATCCAGGAATACACCGTCTAGAGGTTTCATAGCGAAGCAAATGCAAGTGGCAGTGCATGTAGACCATGGAGGAGAGCCCTCATCATCAGCAGCAGTCGACAGGCATGGCGTTGCTGGCGACAATGCTGATATCATCATGATGGATGATTTAGTCCAATACATGGACGACGGCAACCGGGGCGATGAGGATGGTGAGCCGGCTGCTGTGATGGAGCCCTCGGATGCGGAGCTATTTGAGGAAATAATTAACTGCATAGACCACGAAGATGTTCTGTTCGGGAGGCTTGATGCTTGTCGCGGTTCCGAACCCGTGAGGCAATGTTTTGAAAACACTTTCAATAACGGTTTTGTACAAATAAACAAGAAAAGTTTTATTTCGTTGTAAAATTTAAGATTTCAAGTCTTCAGTGTATTTTAGCTTAAGGAAAAACATAGGGTGTTACAGTAGTGTGCTCTCACTTAAATTTGGCATTGTCGTGGAGTCGAGGGAGCCTCGGGCGTCGCCTGACTTCTGCTGGCCCTGACACTCCGACTGTCAGGGGCTGCTTGCTGTGGGTTCAGCCTCCACCAGGTGAGCCTTCTCGAGGCTTCTCGAGCCTTTTTTGGAGGCGAAGGCGCTCCGGTTCGGGGGCTGACGAGTGGACCCTGGAGCCCCGCGCCCCTGAGACCGGCTGGATGGCTTTGTCCTGTTGTGTCATGCCTCCTGCTTGATCTTGTTGGGGGAGCGGCCGGCAGCTCCCCGCGCCTGTTGGTCAGGTGAGCGCTGCAGAGCCCTCGAGCCCTCTCTGTAGCCTCGGGTGCTCGGGGCATACGATAATTAAAACTGGAGGGCATTTCTTTGGGTGACTCGAAATACCAACTCCGTCTATAAATCGATTTCTAGAACTGGACTGTCTTTGAAACATTTTTAAAGGCTAATTTTCTCCAACCACAGCTACAGAAAAAATGAGACGTCTTGAAAAATCATTTGAGTAGTATAGCTATTGTGTATAACAATATAGCTGATCGTTCGTCAAGTCAACAATATTTGTTTAGGGACTTTGTACCTCGTTCTCGCTTATATAAATATGTATGGATGGGATCATGGGAGCCTCATGCATAACCAAGGAGCAGACCACTCTTCTCTCCGCTGTGTCCTAGCTTTCCAGGTAAGTGTGCTAGTCTTGCTAAGTTTCTTTGTGCACGGTGTCCCATGGAAATTAGGTAGTCGTATGCCATGAAAGTCATAGTCCAATTTACACGCATTTGGTGGTAATCGTTCCAACCAGTTGTCCCTTTCTGTGTTATAGGTTAACATATTTTTATCTTAGACAAATTCATTGTGAATGTTAATGGAAAGAGTTTTTTTGTCTCAGGAAAAAGATCCAACGTAAGCGTGGTGGAAAATGTCTGTCGATATGAATTTCAAACTCGAGACTCTTCAAGCCATAACGGACAACTTTTCTGAGAAGCACAATGTGGGCAGTGGAGGGTATGGCACAGTTTACAAGGTATGAGTACTGTGCTTAGAGTACACACTATATTTTCAATAGGTTTCAATTCAGTGATAAACAGCTGGGTACTAGAAGTTTGTAGTGTGTGATCTATATATATCAACTTGCGATTATTTGTGGCAGGGGTTGTATAAAGGCGAAGAGATTGCTGTGAAGAGGCTCCATCACGTGGTAGGGCTTGATGATAAAGAATTTAAAAATGAATTCGGTAACCTTAGAAAGGTTCAACATGAGAATGTGGTAAAGTTAGTTGGCTTCTGTTATGAATCAAAAAATCATTTTTTTGAACAAGGTGGGAAAGAGTTTTGGGCCCCATTAACGGAGCGAATTCTCTGTTTCGAATTTATGCAAGGTGGAACCCTCGATAAACATATCGCAGGTACCATGATCAGTCAAGCTCTATATATATATGACCGTGTTTTTATTAGCATACGTGATTTTTGTACCTTTTTATATATGTAATCTGTTCCTTTTTTTTTGCAGATGACTCTTGTGATCTTGATTGGCCCACATGTTACAAAATTATCAAAGGAACATGTGAGGGTATAAATCACCTTCATACTGCATACGAGAAATCTATTTTCCATCTGGACATAAAACCTGGTAATATTTTGCTGGACAGCAATAACAACGCCAAAGTTGCAGATCTTGGCTTATCCAGATTCGTATCAACAAATACTTTTGTAACAAAGACTATCAAAGGAACACAGTAAGTTGCTGCCTCATTTTTCTTGTATAGTGCCTAGCAACTAGTTTTATGGCAGGCCTGGTATCTCGTAGTGCCTTAGCACATAGATCCAACTATACTGTAGTAACCCTATTGATGCCGATCCATCAAATATGCAGATGCTACATGCCACCAGAGTTTGGAAAGAGTGGACATATATCAAGTAAATATGACGTGTTCAGTCTTGGAGTTCTAATTATAAACGTAATGGATGGAAATAGGGGTTTGACACGCTATCGTGAAATGAGAACTGAACAGTTCGTTAACCATGTATGTATGAGAAATTACGAGGAACTCCGTTTTCTCATAACTCCATATAATTTATAACACTTTGATTTGAAGTTTCCTAACTTTATGTGCCAACTAATCAGGTAAAGAGAAACTGGAACGCAAGGTTGAAGGAAAAGCCTGGTCATCCATCACACAAAATAGAAAGCTTACAAGTGAACAAATGTGTTGTATTAGCCTTGAAATGTGTTCAATATGACCGTAACAAAAGGCCATCTACGAACGATATTGTTGATGAACTGGAACAATTAGACATTGAAATTAAGAAACTGTCATTAGCATCTGATGATTACCAAATTGGCCAGGTACGTTCATTCTGATAGAATATAGATGCTATCGGATATGTTTCAAATGGTGTTCCGTTAACAAACTTATGAAACCAAATACTTTAGGTTTGTATGTAATTCTTCTAGTGTTAGATTACATATACTTTGGAAAGTAAAATGTTTACTTTATATTGGATAGCATCTGAACTGTTTTCAACAAAATAACAATGCCGGATGCAATTAAATTATGTCGTACAGACGATCAGCATTCACAATATGTAGCACAATATTTACATCAAGTGGGGGAATGCATGCATAAAAATTACACTGGGTTGTGTAGACCTGAAAAAAGAGGAAGGGTCCATGGTCAAACAGGTTCGAATAATATGGGAACTCAAGTGTTGAGGCAGGTTTAATGCCTAACATCTACATATTTATTTCTAAATATTCATGTCCGATCCATTATTTGGTAAATTAAAAAAGAAGGTTTAATTCCTAACATCTACATATTTATTTCTGGGGTCAGTTGACCTCGTGGAAAAAGAATCTTGCCTCAGAAAAAAAATTAGAATAAAATCATTATTACATATAAATAAATGAATGATGCGCATGATAAACATCATGCCCTCCATATTCCCATATAGATTACTACGTCAGTCATGAAATGTATAACGGATAGAAGTGTTCAAAATGTTTCTCCAAATAAAAGGTATTGGGGACAGATTTTAAGATATAATTGTATTGGCTTCTCTAAATGTTTGCATGCAGTATTGATAATTGAAATCCAGCCCCATGCGCATGGAACAAACAATAATTATATAGGGTAGCCATGTTTTTTTCCATCTCAAATAATATGCATCTGCAAGATTTCCTATAATCTCTTTATTACAAGGTGGAGTGTATTACATCGAAGGGGCATGATGATTATATTGATTAATTTGGGCATATTCTTCTATTTGTGGTAGGCTCTCGACGCCCTAGAATTAAATTCCTCGATCGAGGACTTGTCGTCCCAGCTCCCTTCTCCAGACCAGCTTCTCGTCAGTTCCATTTCAGGTAGACTATATAAAAACATGCATGTATGCTACAAAGTATAGACATCTACGAATATTGATCAATCGTGGATCTGCAGGGCCGGGGCAGCTAGATGTGGTGATCTTGTATGCATTTGACTGCTCCATCTCGACTACAGCCTGGCGCACTGTGGATGATGGAATCTTTTGGATGGTGCAAGAGAAGCTCACCCACTACATTGACAGCTGCATGGGTTACATCTACTTCATGATGGACGGTAACACGTACACGTCGGATATGAAACTGGTGGACCCAGAAGAGAATAAGGCAACTGGCTACAAATCATTCGTGTGGCGCAGGGTGCCCTGCACGGAAAACATGGCATCTGGCCTCGAGGAGGCTCATAAAATGATCAGCAACCGTGGGTACCCAAATGGCGTCATTTTGCTCTTCTCCGACGGCTTGATACACAAAGGAGACTTCTTTGATGGAGCCGAAGAATTCAAGTCCAAAGTTCCCGTCCACACGTTTACTCTCGGCGGGGTTGAGTATAACGAGGTATCTTTAACATATTACTAATTGTTGGTCTTCGACGAAACCTCGACATTAGTTCTAGCGACATCTGCTAGGAAAATTGACAAATACTAAAAATTCTTAAAATTATCAGAAACAAGTAGCCTGCAGTTTTGTATCCTTTAATGACTATTGCTAATAATAACAATTGTATCTATCATTTTGAAAAAATTATATAAAGTAAACCCCAATTTTCAATCAAAATTACATACCTTTGCCATTGCAAAAGATAAATTGAAATGACCAATTAAATTTACATCTAATTTACCATTATTTGCCATTCTAAAAGATGATTTAAAATGACTCCTAAATTTGCTTCTAGATTTTCCACCTCTCTCATTATGAAAGATAATACAATGTCATCTTAAAATTTCTTTTTAAATACCCAATCCTGTTGTTATGGAATATAATATAAAATAACCCTTTAAACTTGCACCAAAATTTATGATATCTGCCATTCCACTAGATTATTTAACACAGCCCCCCTAATGTTGCTTCTAGACTGCATACTTCCATCATCATGGACGACAATGCAATGTAACCTCAAAATTTCTTTTTGAATTACCCAATCCTGTTGTCGTGAAAGATAACATAAAGTAGGGAGATAGTGTTCTTACCCATTAGCATGAAGGCTGATAGTGATTTTACTGTCTTTTTTTTTACTTTGTGATTTTACCCTAGTTCTTTGATTTCTAAGTTACCATTTGCCCTTTTCTACACTCTGTTAGCTAACGCTGAATAAATGAATTAAGGAAAAATAAAACAAATTAAAAAAAATTGAAATACATTACTAGCCCTGACCTTATCCTAACCCTCCTGGATTTTGCTTATGGTTGATTAAGCTTATGCAGCATGTTAAACTTTCCTAAGAATTGATATGCTGGAAATTTTTGCTTTGAAATTCTTTGAAAATGCTACAAAATATTCGATGTAAAAAATAGAGTTTAAAGTCATAGAGTACTACTAAAACCTAGGGGCAATTCACATGAAAATACTAGGCTTAGTTAGCTAAACTGATACCGTTAGCTCCTCTGAAGGAAATAGGGGTAAACACTGGCTTTGTATTGTCAAATATTGACAAATCATACAATTGCATAAATAACGGCGAAATGACAATTAGACTTCCTTATAAAATAACAATAATGTATGCCACATATGTAAGTAATATCCCAAACAATATACATCTAAATACAAATACAAGCAATTATGAAAAATAGTTGAATAACCATAAAGTACGCTACATATGTTTCTAAATTACACTCTTCTACTATTTTTAATTAAATAGAAGCATAGATTATATGTGCCGCCATGTAGACAAAAATAAAAAAGGATAAATTGTGATCAATATTTATTTTAATAATTTTTGGCTGTCAAAAAATATTCCCTGAACCAACCAAATAACATTCACACTAAAAAATCACTTTAAGATATAAAATTTATAAGTTGCTAATTTAGATAAGTCTATGCAAATAATTTAACTATAACTACTCATGTTTTCATAAATGAATACACCTACCGATACAATTATTGGATATAGCAAATCAGACAACATTAGTGCCATGGTGCGGACTGAAATAGTTGCTCATGTCGTTGTAGTAGCTAAGTGTGTAGTCGAGAACCTATAATACACTTTTAGTAAGATATTGAAATGGCTGTTTATTCCATTGTAGTAACTAAAAGTGGAGTTGAGGAACTATAATCCCTTTTGTATCAAAATACTAAAAGGAAAGTTTTGAAATAGGGATACAACAAGTATCAAAATTTAAAACCAAATGTGTGATGTCACAAAAGTGATGGAACAAGAACTAATATACTTAAAATAAGGTTTCAACAAAATACATACTTTAAACCAATAGAGGTGTAGTGTAAACCATGAAAACAAATATAGAGTAGTTGGTAAAGTTTTCACAGCCAGATATAAATTATAGGGTAGTTATATATTGTTTTAGGAAATGAGTAAGGGGATATGAAACGTAGTCAATTCAATAGTTCTACGTACAAAATGTATGCATGAAACATTTGATGCTTATGTAACTTAGCATTTTGTTCCGTTTACTAAAACAGTGGAGCATAACATTTACCCATGCTAGAACACAGATTGATGGGCTAGTATGAAATCAGAACTAATTTGGTCAAACCTATCACAGACTTATTGATCAATATATGCATGTGTGTCCGTTGTGTATATATTAGGGTCTTGGTGCTATTGCGGCGAATTCCCCAGGTGGAAAGTTCCACAGTATCCCTGTCCCGGAAAGGCCGATGCTGTCTACACGATTCTCGTTGCTACTGGATAGCATCTTTGATCGCACTACAGAAGACGAGGAATCCCCTAGTCCTAGTTCAGGTATTTATTATATACAAGTAACAAAACTGAAAGCTTATACGCCTTGAAGTGACACTTCGAGGCGTATAAGCTTTCAGTTTTGTTACTTGTATATAATTGAATGACCAATTCTCCATGCATACTGATTTGCAGAAACGCAGCCACTTGATGTGGTGTTGGTGTATGCGTTTGACTGCACCAAGTCTACCCTTGCCTGGGCCAAGATGGATCGCTCGATCTTTTGGATGGTGCAAGAGAGGCTCACCCGCTTGGAAGACAGCTGCATGGGTTACATCTACCCCATGTTGACTCCAAACAATTACACGTCGGATATGAAGGTAGTTGACCCCGCAGAATCGAAGGCAACTGGCTACACGGCATTTGACTGGCGCAGGTTACCCTGCACGAAAACCATGGCATCAGGCCTCGCCGAGGCGCATAAAATGCTCAGGAACCGAGGTAATCAAAACGGCATCATCTTGTTCTTCTCCGATGGGTTGATAAACAAGGGAGACTTCTTTGATGGAACGGAGAACTTCAAGTCAGAAGTCCCTGTGCACACGTTTACTCTTGGCGGGGACGCATATAATGAGGTACGTGTCATGTCCGAGCTAATCCTGTCAAAATTATTGTTTATTGATTTATTATTAAGTCAATCCTTATGTCGTGTATGTGATGGTAGGGTCTCCAAGCCATTGCGGATAATTCCCGGAGTGGGATGTTCCACCCCGTTCCTGTTCCAGACAGACCCGAGCTCTCAGTGCGCTTCTCAGAACTACTTGATAGCCTCCTCTTGGGCACCAAGACGAACTGAATTTACCAATAGTATCCATGAATTTCTTATGTTTTCGACACACACATGGACACCATTTTGAACACCTTTCCTCTTTTATTGCTTATTATGTACTAACGGAACGCTGTGTTGTCTGTAACATGTTGTGCCCATAGAGCCGTGTCCTAGGCTGTTTGGATTTCCCTAGTTTGCAGGTAGATGAGTTTGGATACGGTGGCTCGCGCCGTGTGCTTCTTCGGCTGCGACGTCGCCCCCTTTTTGTTGGCCGTGGGATGGCACGGTAATTTCGCAGGGCATGGGCGAGCGCGATCGGATGAGGTCGTCCTCTGTAATCTCGCGTCAATAAAATGAGAAGAAAACCAGAAAAGCAGCAGTTCCTGTGCTGCGCCAAAAATCCAGTGTCTGTCCGTGTTCATAAGAGTTCATTAGTGTTCATCGCGATTGAGAGAGGAGAGAGGTGCTCGTTCTAGTGACGATTGATCCCGATAAGGTTCCAACACGCTGATGCCCTATGTTCCAATAACTGCACGGATCAACTTGTTTCTTCTGTTTTCTTTTAAGTTTTAACCCAACTTTCCTTCAACTCTTTGTGAACTGTGACATTTTTTGATCCAATTAGATGCCAGTGCACACGAGCATGTCGTGCTTGCACTTTGCAACGCTTATGCAAAGACTAAATATTGCGGTTCTAGCAAACAAATGGTCCCGTTTCATTATTTTTCTAAGTAGAACAACGAATGCTCGTTCGGGAGGGATACATGTTCTCAAACAAACATGTCGAGAGCAATATGGAAGGCACATTGCAAGGGGAGCCCCGTCTCGAGCACGATACGTAATACACATCGAGGAGAGCTCTATAAACCTCACTTCCCACTCTCCGAGGAGGGACGTAAGATGATGGTTTGTCCTATGTCAGCCTTTCTTTTGAGAAAGGAAGCTTTTATTGAACCGCTCGTAGGACCATATTTCATGCAAGTAACAAGGGCCTAGTGCCTGTATCTGATGAACCATGTGAATCATTAGATGTGGCATTATATAAAAAAAAGCAGGAGGTAAACACATCTCTAGTTGATTTTGTATCTCCACCACAAATTCATGTAGGTCACTCAGCTCTTTCTTACCAAGTTCTTCGAAAAGAAGTAGCACATGCGGGTGATGGCCATTTTCAAGAACTCTGGCTTTGTAGCCCTGATTGCAATAGGTAGAAACACTGTCAGCATTACATGACAATTGTGAGCCTTGTAGTGTATTATTAACAAGTCCTTCATCGACACTAGCTTCTTTACATTCGCTGAAAACCCAGTCGAGACTTTGACCCCTCAGGAAAGTGCATATAGCTCTTGTCGGTACAGAAAGTGACCAACTAATGAATATTTGTAGTTTTGCTGTACGTTGTGACCGGAGGTGGTCTAGCACTCAATGACACAGGATATATACTGGTTCAGGCAACGTGCCCTACGTCCAGTCTAGGTCGGTCGGTGACTTTATTCCTGAGCCCAGGTGCTCGAAGTCTGTGGTGGGGTTACAAACGAGAAGGAGAAATGAGGGGTGTACGAGAGGCTTGATCGGGTCTGACCGGAAGGGCCGAGGGCGACCGGAACTCCGCTATGAGCTAGGTGTTCAAGCGTGTGCTTAAGGGGTTGTGAGTTATAGATCTAGTGAATCTAAGCTCGAAGAAAAAGCCTCCTTTGGGAAATCGATCCCCTTTGTTGGAGGGAGCGCATCCCCTTTTATAGATAAAGGGGATGGCTTTACACGTGAGAGGGAGAGGGTACGGATGTTTCTAAGTCTTGTTGCCCACGCCGAATGAGGGTAGTGATGATGGTTGGCACGCACAACACTGTTGATGTCGCTGTAAAACGTCAGGTGCACATGGGGGGTTGCGTTGGCTTCTTCAGGAAGGGTGGACGTCGGTACCTACGAAATGTTGTTAGTATATGAGGAGTCCCATCATGTGTACCAGGCATGGTGAATCCTAGTGCCCACTATCGATGCCCAGAGACATGTGGGGGGGCTTTTTATCGTACGGGAGCCCCAACGGCGCCTACAATACTGTAGACACAGTTCCCACAGGCGTACAGGGTATGGTCCTGGTACCGTGTTTTGACTTTGTGCGCTATTTTCTCCATTCGCCCCTGGTCCCTTCCGAGCGGGAATCCCCGATCGGATGGCTCCAGTCGGTACTGGCCGTGTCAGTCGGAGAAGAGCGGTAAGCAGGCTTCCTACGAGTCTCCGGTTGGAGACGCGGGGTCGGAGTAGGAAGCAGCGTTTTGGGCCAGGCCTTCCGATCGGAGAGTCCGCCCGGAGGCGGCCGGCGCCCGAGGCGAGCGCTCCGGTCAGAGAGGTGGGCCGAAGAAGTTGCCGAGCGGGCGTTCATTCTTTTGGTGGACCTTCCGGTCGGCGACCGTTCCGTCCCTCCGGCCCGTTGTTTTTTAGACTTTTGGGCGGCCCATGAGCTATAGGCTGTTCTCCTGGGCCGAGCCCGGTGTCGAAGCCGGTCCCCGAGGGACCCTGGGTTTATGAACCCGACAGCACTCTTCTCTTCTGGGTTAAGGTTGAAGCACGCCGTGGGCAGAGTGTATTTTCCATTAGCCTCAGGTACTGGGTGAAGCTGTGGCATCACATTTAGCTGCACCATGTCTTTCCGTGATTTCAAACCATCGTTTGACTTGCCTGTGTCCATCAAGGTAGCAATGAGACTCTCAAAGACATTCTTCGGCATGTGCATAGCATCAATGGCATGGGGGTCCTCCAAGTCTGGCCAATAAGACAGATACTGAAAGAAGATCGATTGTTTCTTAAAAGGTACGCCTTCGACAGGAGGTGTGCTTCTATCTCTGTTCGTCCCATCTGGATTTTTCATTCCATAGACGACGCATATATTTTTCACCATTTTGTACATGTGTTCTCCATTATGATGTCTCTCCAGGGGGGGAGGTTCAATCTCCGGGGTGTTGTCATAAAATCTAAAGGACAATTTGCAGTGGTACTTGTGACTTGTTTTTAAGAAGCGCCGGTTCCTTAGGTAAACTATCTTCTTGGATGCATCCAGGTAAACTAAGCATCCCGTCTTCCCTTTGATCTGTCCAGACAAAGCAAATAGCATGGGGTAATCATTGGTAGTAACAAATATTATTGCTCTACATATAAAGTCCTCCTTTCAGAATGCATCGTACATCGGCTCCCTATGGCTCCATAGCCTCACCATTTCTTGTATCAAAGGCTCGAGGAACACATCTATATCAATGCCTGGTTATTTAGGGCCAGAAATAAGAATAGTAAGGAGAAGATACTTTCTCTTCTGATATAACCACGTTGGGATATTGTACATGGTCAAGATCACTGGCCAAGTGATGTGGTCGCTCATCCTCTCATTGAAGGGATTCATTCCATCGGTGCTCAAGCCAAACCGTACATTCCTTGGGTAATCGCTGAATTCTTTGTGCTTCTCATCGATCCTTTGCCACTGACTACAATCAGCCAGGTGTGCAATCTTATCATCATCCACCTTGCGCTCATCATCCGACCATTTCATAAGTGCGGCTTCTTTAGGGTTTAAGAAGATACGTGTCAAATGGTCGGTCACTAGTAGGTACCACATTACTAAGACAAGAATTCTTCTCTGCTTTGCATCGTTGCCTAATGGAGTGTCCTCTGGGGGCTGAGATTCTTGTACCATCTTTTTCGTACCCTTCTTATTCCTCTTTTTCCCCGTGGAGGTTTCGTCCCCACCATAAAGGTCATTGTTCTTGTATCGGCTGGCCTTAGGGACACTTATCCAGTGACTTGAACGTTTGCCACCAAAAAGGATACAGTGGTTGGGGCATGCATGGATTTTTTTCAACCCCCATTGTCAATGGACTTATTACCTTCTTCGCTTGGTATGTGTTGGCGGGAACTGAGTTTGGTTGTGGCAGCACCCATGACAGGACACGCAATAGATCATTGAAACTACATTCTGACCAGCCGTACTTCGCCTTCAGGATGAGTAGCTCAAGCACAAAACATAGCAATGACAATGTGTCGGACAACCCTTTTCAACACCATACACAGTCTCCTTCGATGCTTTTGTCACCCTTTTCAAATTTTCTAGATCTTTTGGGCTCTTTAGTAAAATCTCTGGTCCAAGGACCCGAATCATTTCCTTCAAATCATCAAAATCATCTTCATCACCAACACGTGCTCCCCTATCATTATTGGCACCACCTTCGTTGTTACCATTCCAACCACCAGCATCACCACCTTGTTCATTGCGAAACTCAGGATCCATTTGTACATCAAGCTCTTCTGAGTATTGGAACAGGTATTCTAGGGTTTCGGCATCGTCTTCTTCATCATCGTCGTCATTATCAACATCCGTTGTTTCGCCATAATGAATCCACACTGTGTAGTCCTCAACAAATCCTCGCACAATCAAATGTTCTCTGATAATACTCACATCTGTCCATGCCATAAGGTTCTTGCAATCTTTGTAGGGACAAATAATTGTATCCTTATTCTCTGTCAATGTCGCTGCATGCTTCTCTACGGCTTCAATAAATTTGTCCACCTCTTCACGAAAACCTGCCTTGAAACTTAACGAATCATACATCCAAGACTTCCTGTACTCCATCTTTTAAAACACAACAATCAAAGAAAATACATTAAATGACTACTAATTCAGATATATATGTAAAGGAATCAAATTAATAATTAATTACTTGACAATAATTATATATACTTGAGATATATATAAATATAAATATAAAATAAAATTACATGAAGCATATCAAACACACACCATGGTAGAGGATAATTAATTAATGGCCTATTTATCAATAAATAATTAAAAATATATATTTATTAATTAAAATAAATAATTTCAAAGACAACAATTTGCAACAATTAATATTTTACCCACTACCTTTCATGCAAACCCTATTCCTATTTCATGAAACATAAATTTACAAAATTAAAATTAAAAAAAACAAACCCTAGATCTAGATCTAAATCTACATGTACATGAAACATACATGAAACTA